TGTGTGTGTGTGTGTGTGTATTTATTTATACATGTGTTTATATATATGTGTGTGTGTGTGAGTGCGTGTTTACACACTCACACACACACATATATGTATATATATATATATATATATATATATATATATACATTTATATATATTCATTATATGTACAGACGCATATATACATACATACATCCACACACACATACGTTTATATGTGTGTGTATATATACATACATGTGTATGTGTGTGTTGGTTTGTGTATGTGTGTGTACGTGTGTATATATGTGTGAGCGTGTGTCCGCGTGCGGGTGACTGTGTGTGTGTGTGAGAGAGAGCAATTTAATAACATTGGGATTCACTTCAAATATATCTAATAGAAATAAATCTGATTTTCGGTACATTTTAATAACAGTGGTTCATATTTGTTTATGAATTTTGGCAAGATCAGGTTAAAGATAAATGGTAATGGAACTAAAATATATATCAGTCATTCGAGTCACTACTTTTCTTATGCTATGTTAATCAAATTAATTCCCAATATTTTTTTTTATTATTTTTCATAAGGAAACGTTCCTATCTCCTATTTCGGATACAACACAGTACAGTCTTCTAAAATATATGGAAAAAAATCAGAGAACATTTTTATGACATGCTATACAGAAGTAAACTGTGGTAAAATAATATTCTTATCGATTCCACTGCCAAATTAGTTAAATCGGGTACCATGATATCCACAACTTTCCCCTCAACTACACATAGCATTTCAACTATACGTAGTATCAAGAGAAGCAAGAAATAATGGAGTGAAGATATCCAAAGCTAAGTAAAAGCTTGAGTACACTCTTCTCCTTCCCATCTCCGTTTTCTTTGAGTATCTGGCCAGACTTTCTGAAAACGTAACACGTTTTGCTAAGATCATCGAATTTTCACGTCGTACTCACCTTAAGTTTTCCTAGATTGCGCTATGATATCAAAGTCTGCACATGCAAAGTATGCACATGCATATCTCACCCCATGAATGTTGTATCTAAGTATCCCACCCCATTAATGGGGTGGGATACACCAAAGCGACTTTCCTCCATTGTTGACGTCATCGCAGCGCGTTAACTTGCGTGAAACCTTGGAGGTTTTACGTGCAACGACCTCGGAAGTGATGCAAGGTACATAAACCTGGAAGTAAACACAACTAAATGCATGTTAAAATAAATGGAAAACTACGATACTCCATAATACGCCATTTACTCTAACTCTTCTCAGGATAAATCATATAAATTATAAGGCTGTGAAATTACGATTGAAGGAAAATGTGTCTAAAGACTAAAATAAGATTATACAGTCAATTGTACCAGCCTGTGGCCAGTACATATAAAAAAAAACTTTGTTACCATTCTGTTGTCATTCAAAATTATAGGGGCAAAATAAACTTAAAATAAAAATTAAAATAAACTATCAGACATGATCTTCATTAGTCATGGGAAACCAGGTAAGCCTATGTACCTTTACTGGCCCTCAAGATGGTACCTGAAATTAGAATTAGTACTCTAACACTCCTAACACGTAAGGCCAAATTACGAACGCATCATGCCACATTATTGAGGCAAAATTCTCTTCCAATAGCATAAAAAGTTAACGATAATTTACAGAAAATTAGTTTAGGTTAGGCATGTTCAACCTCAGGTACATTTACCTGATAAAATTAATTAGATAAAACAATCTAAACTAAACTAAATGGTGTCTTGCACTGACTGCTACACATAGTATATATCTATCATTTACATTTGCAATTTAACATTATTACACCAAGCGTAACCGAACTGCTTTCATATGCATAATCATCACTGATTTTTTTCTCCGGTATTTCCCCTATCAAAAAATGAAAAAATATCTCATGGATATCCATTGATGTTATATTATAATTAGTTCTTATTCCAATTACACGGGATTTCTTCTCACCGAACCGAGCCATGCGTCAGGGTTCACGCGTTCGAGCGGAAAATCAGAAGCTCTGGGAAGTCATATTTATCCCACTCGGTGCGCGTTTGGCCTTGTTTCTATCCAACATGCTGGAAATTCGTGTATGCATACACGAATTTCCAGCATTTTAGATCAAAACAAGGCTTTTACCTACTTTTGGTATTAATGATGTGAATCCAGCTGGTGGCTTCTGTCCTTTTAAGGCAGTGTGATTGCCGAACTTTAAGAGAATATAAGACATTCGGGAACAAAGCATTGAACTGAAGATTTTTAGAGCGCAAAGAAATTGAAAGATTTTGTAAGGTTTAATACCACCAGGAAGGCTAAACACAACAAAAAGGCTGCGAAATATTTTTTTATTCAAGGTTTAATATTGGTAAACGACATTTTCCATATCCACCTGGATGGAGCATATCAATGACCCTGCTACCATTATCAGTTTTACATTATTTTTGTATGTGTAAACACAACGCATTAATAGTAATGTAATGATGTCAGACTGCATTATGCTTGTTCTTCTTGCTATTCAATACTCGTCAACATCATAAATGTATTTTGCCGAAAAAAATGTACGTTGCCATATGGTAAAGAAAGCCACATCATCTTCCTCACATATTTTCTTTTTTTCTAATGTTTAGCCACGGAGCCATTCCATTAATACGTTGAATATCATATTAAGTTTGACTGACTCTCATGTGATGCTCACCTACAAACCAAGCAATACTGTGATGCATAGACTACTAGGATTTCTCTGGTCTCGTTTACCCGCTCTCTCGCTGCCTTGTTCTCTGGGTAGGAAAAAATAGATAGGAAAACCCTTGACCTACTAAACACAGTGAGAATGATAACCGAAAGGTTAATATTTTCAGTTTTGGATCTGATAGCCGTAAAAGAGTACTGTATACTACACGAAAAGCTAGTGAGCGAGACCGTCTTTGAAGAAACAGTTTATCAGTATTTAGTTCCCGTCGTAAATTTGTCATGATGAGAAATAATGCTCTTTGATTATTCAAAGGATTATAAAATACATAATAGTTCACTTCAGAAAACTCACATAGGTAATCCCTGGCTTTGTGTTCGCAAGAATATGTGCTCTCTGAGTCATCTACAGGTCTTCACTGTGATATATATATATATATATATATGTGTGTGTGTGTGTGTGTGTGTGTGTGTGTGTGTGTGTGTGTGTGCGTTTATGTGTGTGCATGTATATGCATGTATGTAAAAAATATATATATATACATATATGTGTGTGTGTATGTGTATGTATATATATATACATGTATGTATGTGTGCATGTATATATATACATATATATACATGTGTGTGTATATATATATATGTATATTTATATACATATATGTATGTGTATATGTATATATAATATATGTATGTATAGATATATATATGCATATATAGATAGATAGATAGATAGATAGATAAATACATTATACACAAACATATATATTTACAAATATACATATATATATTTATATACACACATATATATACATAAATATACATATATAGATACATTATATATAAACATATATATATATATATATATATATATATATACATATATATACATATACATGTATATACATATATATATGTATGAATATACATATATATATTTATATACACATATGTATATATATATACACATACACACATATAACATATTTATACATAACATATATATATATATATATATATATATATATATATATATATATATATATATATGTACGTATATGCATATATGTATGTGTGAGTGTGTGTGTGTACATATGTACAATGTGTATATATATATATTATGTATATATATACTTAAATGTATGTATATTAATATTATTAATGATGGTATATATATATATATATATATATATATATATATATACATATATATATATTTATATATAATCGGCAGCTCAGAGGAAGAGCCATACGCCAAAGTAGTTCCCTTCAGAAATTTCTTCGGTTAGGTGCCATTGGTACTGGTCTTACTGGTACCAATTCCCTCCCATAATCCCTCTCTGGTATGGCCTTCTCGGCTTCTGGATGACTATCATGCGACCGTTGTCCGTTGCTGGTAACTTTGTTGTCGTCTGGGTTATCCATGAATACCAAATCCCTAAAATCACCAGCTAATCTTTCGGGCATCAACCTGGCCATCTCCGACTTCATGATGCTTCCCATGATAAAGTTCTTTTATGTCTAAATTCACTTTCAACAAATTGAAAGGACTTCTAGCAAAAAAAAAAAAAAAAAAAAAAAAAAAAAAAAGAAAAAAAAAAAAAAAAAAAAAGATAATCTCATAAGGCAGGTCCGTTACTCTCGCAGACTATATAAGACTTACCTGAACGCCTCCTCTCCAGTTACCTCTCGGCAGCTCAGAGGAAGTCATACACCGAAGTAGTTCTCTTCAGAAATTTCTTCGGTTCGGTGACACTCCGTGAACATAAAGGTAAATTATGTTCGATTATGAGTTTCTAATTTTAGCCAAACAAGTCCTATTTTTTGTTTAAAAAAAATTCGTAGATTACGTTTGTGTTTACATGTGTATATCCAATGCCTGTATGCAATTATAAGTACACGTGTATATACTCGTTAATACATACGCACACATACATACACACAAATCTATATAATATATACACTACGTATATGTATGTAAACATACTCACATGCATAGATAAAATGGTATGTTATTGTATATTATTGCATAATTTTGTACAGTTATTCCATCCACCAATCCTTATGGCAACTACACAGTGGTGGATACGGTGCCAGAAACTATGCTCCACATGGTGGATTCTCACTGGTACCAATTCCCTCCCATGAACCCTCTCTGGTATGGCCTTCTCCACATACATACACACAAATCTATATAATATATACACTACGTATATGTATGTAAACATACTCACATGCATAGATAAAATGGTATGTTATTGTATATTATTGCATAATTTTGTACAGTTACAAAAATATGAAATAGAATGTGGTAAGAAGCAGATATCTATTCGTTACAGATGTCGTGGAACAGTCCAGCACATTCGGCGGATAATGCCCTTCCATCCACCAATCCTTATGGCAACTACACAGTGGTGGATACGGTGCCAGAAACTATGCTCCACATGGTGGATTCTCACTGGTACCAATTCCCTCCCATGAACCCTCTCTGGTATGGCCTTCTCGGCTTCTGGATGACCATCATGGGAACGCTGTCTGTTGCTGGTAACTTTGTTGTCATCTGGGTATTCATGAATACCAAGTCCCTACGATCACCAGCCAATCTTTTGGTCGTCAACCTGGCCATCTCCGACTTCTTCATGATGCTTACCATGACTCCTCCTCTCCTGATCAACGCTTACTGGGGCACATGGGTGTTTGGAGCTTTCTTCTGTGAGATCTACGCTTTCCTGGGTTCCCTTTTCGGCTGCGTGTCCATCTGGTCCATGGTCTTCATCACTGCTGACCGATACAACGTCATCGTTAAGGGAGTATCTGCTGAACCTCTTACATCTGGTGGTGCCATGATGAGGATTGCAGGAGTTTGGTCTTTCTCTCTTGCTTGGTGCCTTCCTCCCTTCTTCGGATGGAACCGTTATGTGCCTGAGGGTAACATGCTTGCCTGTGGTACCGACTACCTGACAGAATCAGAAATCTCCAAGAGTTACCTATATGTATACTCCGTATGGGTTTATCTCTTCCCTCTTGCCTACATCATCTACAGCTACACATTCATCGTTAAGGCTGTCGCTGCCCACGAGAAGGGAATGCGAGAACAGGCTAAGAAGATGGGAGTCAAGTCCTTGAGGAGTGAGGAAGCTCAGAAGACCTCTGCTGAGTGCCGTCTGTGCAAGGTTGCTCTCATGACCGTTACTCTGTGGTTCATGGCCTGGACCCCCTACTTCATCATCAACTGGGGAGGTATGTTCAACAAACCCATGGTCACTCCTCTTTTCTCCATCTGGGGCTCCGTCTTCGCCAAGGCCAACGCCGTCTACAACCCCATCGTGTATGCCATCAGCCACCCCAAGTATCGTGCTGCCCTTGAGAAGAAGCTGCCTTGCCTCGCTTGTGCTACTGAGGGCCGAGATGTTGGTTCTGACGCTGGATCCACCACCACTGCTCAGAGCACTGAGAAGACTGAATCTGCTTAGGAAAAGACTATTTGTAGTTTCCTTTTCTAAACAGTCAATGACCAAAGGTAACTCAATGTACGTTTACAAAACTCAAAATAAGAAATAAATTCCTTGCATGTGAAAAGTCCTTCCCTGACATAAATTTCCGATAAGACATCTATAATTGCTTACATTTTCTATGAAACTGATATAAACAAATATATACCTACTAATTTTCGGAATAGTCGAAGAAACAGAAAACCATACATTCAGTTATAGAGAAACCTATTCATAACTGAAGACTAAAGATACACTACAATTCAGCTACGACAAATAAAAGCTTTAAAACCATGAAAACGTTAATTATTCGTAATGTGATTCATCCTGAGACTAGAGAGATGGAAAATTCTTCCAAAGGTCTACATTCCGTTTGGAATCCAAAAATCGTATAGAAAGCATTATAAGTATGATTTTCTCATATATCGGGAAGTTACATTACCACAATTCGATAAAAGTTGACTTGAAACTAAATGTACAGTCCACAATTCTATGGTGATTAAAGAAAATGTATCTGGAAAACATATGATCTTCCTGTAGTTATAAGAATCCATGCTTGTATTTGTAAACATATCGTGAGCTATCCATTAAGATGAATTCTTTCAATATCTAAAGGTAAAGAAATGAAGACTTCTTTATTGCAGAAAAAAACATCAAAAATAGACAAGTGAACTGATTAAAGAGGCACTTTCCGTAATTTCCATAATCGACCTCATACTTGAATTGATCTGATGAATGTAGCGTATAACGACTTTCTTATAATAATATATTCACACATATGTATACTTGTTTATACAGTATGTATGCATATGAATCTATTTAAGTGTATGTGTAAGTGTACAGATAAAAGTGTGCGCATATATATAGAGAGAGAACAGAAAGACATTTTGGCTTCTCTTGTCGAAGGTACATCCAGTGAGGCAGAATTCTCACAGAGGGTGAGGTTTAACGTGGTTAATCACATTGCTGCACAGCTGACTACGGCAAAAACTTTAACATCTGTTTCAGCGAACAGTTTCATAAGTTGATTCAGCACCTGCCTTTAGCACCCACTTCAACACTTGCCTTAACGCCAGTATCAGCAACGCCTCCACAACCTCAGCCATATTACAAAGATAAACAAACCTGATGCAGATATTGTTACAGACGACAGAACACATGATGTTCATGATACATCTATAGAGTGGTCAGCAGGTCCATTTCTATGAAAAGATGTTTACAATCCTTGGTCAATAATTATAGTTTTCTTAAGTTCCTGTAGTAGACCGTGAAAGTTAATCAGCTAACTATACATTACCCTAAATGATTTTAAGTATACCATGTGTACTATTGACTGAAGCAATACTAGTTGTTTGTAGCATTGTTCAAACACATGCTACATAAAAATGTTAACACTAGTGAAAACCTGTCAGATATATATAAATGATGGCCGACTGAGAGCCATCAAAAATTAAGTATTCAGCCAGTTTAAGTAGATTCTTTGTCATCTTTCCTTGGCTATTTACAGGCCATGTAAACTATTCTGTGAATAAACATTTCGAATGAAACTCTTCTCTTGTTTCGCATTACACACATGATATATATGTGTGTTTATGAACACATATATGTGTGTATTATGACATACTAAGAATACTTCCCTTTGCTTTGTGTGTGTAGGTGAATTTATGTTGTTTTTATTTCTGTGTACATGAAGAGGGTGTCTATGTCAATCATAAAGGAATATTTGTATTTTTGTCACTTCCTTATAAGTCATCTTCTTTCAGACTTTCCCTATCAACTCATCCTATATGGAAATTCATAAAGAACAAACTTCTATGTCTAAATTCACCTTAAACAAATTGAAAGGACTTCTAGCAAAATGAAAAAGAAAAGAAAAGGATAATCTCATAAGGCAGGTTCGTTACTCTCGCAGGCTATATAAGACTAACCTGAACGCCTACTCTCCAGTTACCTCTCGGCAGCTCAGAGGAAGTCATACACCGAAGTAGTTCTCTTCAGAAATTTCTTCGGTTTGGTGACACTCTGTGAACATAAAGGTAAGTTCTCTTCATTTATTAGTCTCTAACATTAGCCAAACAAGACCCGTTTTTGTTTGAAAATACATCTCATATGTTCGTAGATTATGTTTGTATTTACATGTGTATATCCACTGCATGTATGTGATTATAAATGTATGTGCGTATATTCGTATCATTTTATATAATATATACACTACGTATATATGTGTGCGTGTGTGTGTGTAAACATAATACATGCATAGATAAAGTAGTATACTAGTATATGTTGCATATTTTTGTAGTTACAAAAATATGAAGTAGAATGTGGTAAGAAGCAGATATCTCTTTCTTACAGATGTCGTGGAACAGTCCAGCACATTCGGCGGATAATGCCCTTCCATCCACCAATCCTTATGGCAACTACACAGTGGTGGATACGGTGCCAGAAACTATGCTCCACATGGTGGATTCTCACTGGTACCAATTCCCTCCCATGAACCCTCTCTGGTATGGCCTTCTTGGCTTCTGGATGACCATCATGGGAACACTGTCTGTTGCTGGTAACTTTGTTGTCATCTGGGTATTCATGAATACCAAATCCCTACGATCACCAGCCAATCTTTTGGTCGTCAACCTGGCCATCTCCGACTTCTTCATGATGCTTACCATGACTCCTCCTCTCCTGATCAACGCTTACTGGGGCACATGGGTGTTTGGAGCCTTCTTCTGTGAGATCTACGCTTTCCTGGGTTCCCTTTTCGGCTGCGTGTCCATCTGGTCCATGGTCTTCATCACTGCTGACCGATACAACGTCATCGTTAAGGGAGTATCTGCTGAACCTCTTACATCTGGTGGTGCCATGATGAGGATTGCAGGAGTTTGGTCTTTCTCTCTTGCTTGGTGCCTTCCTCCCTTCTTCGGATGGAACCGTTATGTGCCTGAGGGTAACATGCTTGCATGTGGTACCGACTACCTGACAGAATCAGAAATCTCCAAGAGTTACCTATATGTATACTCTGTATGGGTTTATCTCTTCCCTCTTGCCTACATCATCTACAGTTACACATTCATCGTTAAGGCTGTCGCTGCCCACGAGAAGGGAATGCGAGAACAGGCTAAGAAGATGGGAGTCAAGTCCTTGAGGAGTGAGGAAGCTCAGAAGACCTCTGCTGAGTGCCGTCTGTGCAAGGTTGCTCTCATGACCGTTACTCTGTGGTTCATGGCCTGGACCCCCTACTTCATCATCAATTGGGGAGGTATGTTCAACAAACCCATGGTCACTCCTCTCTTCTCCATCTGGGGCTCCGTCTTCGCCAAGGCCAACGCCGTCTACAACCCCATCGTGTATGCCATCAGCCACCCCAAGTATCGTGCTGCCCTTGAGAAGAAGCTGCCTTGCCTCGCTTGTGCTACTGAGGGCCGAGATGGAGGTTCTGATGTTGCTTCCAATGCCACTGCTCAGAGCACTGAGAAGAGTGAATCTGCTTAGGAAAAGACTATATGTAGTTTCCTTTTCTAAACAGTCAGTGACCAGAGGTAACTCAATGTACGTTTGCAAAAGTCAAAATAAGAAATAAATTCCTTGCATGTGAAAAGTCTTTCTCTGACATGAATTTACGATAAGACATCTATAACTGTTTACATTTTCTATGAAATTGATATAAATAAATATATACCTGCTAACTTTCGGAACAGTCGAAGAAACAGAAAACTATACATTCATTTATGGAGAAATCTATTCAAAACTAAAGAAAAAAATACACTACAATTCAGTTACAAATTTTAACAAACGCTTTAAAACTATTAGAACGTAATGTATTTGTAATGTAATGCATCCTAAGACTAGAGATGGTATATTCCTCCAAAGGTTTACATTGCGTTTAGAATCCAAAAAATGTTTAGAAAGCATTATAAGTATGATTTTCTCACTCTTTAGGAAGATATCTTACCAAAATTCGATAACAGTTCACTTGAAACTAAATATACAGTCAACTCCATGGTGATTAAAGAGAATATATCTGGAAATTTTATAATCCAAAATCATATGCATGCTTGTATTTGTAAAGCTATCCATTAAAATGAACTGTCTTTCAATATCCAACAATAAAGAAATGAGGACTTCTTTACTGTGGTAAAACATCAAAAATAGACAAGTTAACTGATTAATGAGGCATTCCATAATTTCCAAAATCGACCTTATACTTGAAATGATCCGATGATTGGTGGCGTATAACGACTTTCTTATATTAATAAGTCCACACATATGAATACTTGTTTAGACAGTATGTATGCATATGAATATATTCAAGTGTATGTGTAAGTATACACAGACACGCACGAGCGTATATATATAAATAGAGAGAGTTAGAGCACAGAAAGACATTTGGCTTCTCTTGTCAGAGGTACATCCAGTGAAGCAGAATTCTCTCAGGTTGCGAGGATTAACGTGGTTAATCGTATTGCTCCACAGCTGACCACGGTAAAAACTTTAGCATATGTTTCAGCGCCAGTTTCATTAGTACATTCAACACCTGCCTTTAGCACCCACTTCAACACTTGCCTTAACGCCAGTATCAGCAACGCCTCCACAACCTCAGCCATATTACAAAGATAAACAAACCTGATGCAAATATTGTTACAGACGACAGAACACATGATGTTCATGATGCATCTATAGAGTGGTCAGCAGGTCCATTTCTATGAAAAGATGTTTACAATCCTTGGTCAATAATTATAGTTTTCTTAAGTTCCTGTATTAGACCTTGAAAGTTAATCAGCTAACAATATATTACCCTAAATGATTTTAAGTATACCATGTGTAGTATTGATTGAAGCAATACTAGTTATCTGTAGCATTGTTCAAACACATGCTACATAAAAATGTTAACACTAGTGAAAACCTGTCAGATATGTATAAATGATGGTCGACTGAGAGCCATTAGAAATTAAGAGTTCAGCCAGTTTACATAGATTCTTTGTCATCTT